ATAAATAAACCACACAAATTTTGTTTTAGTAAACTAAAAATTCTGTCAGCAAAATTTTGTAAAAATAGTGGACATTTTGGATGTCCCCAAGGCAAAAAGAGTTTTTTAGTGTTTGTTTAAGGATATTTGGGACTAAGTAAAGGGGAAAAAAAATATCTTTTAAAAAAATGGGCCCTAGGCCCATTTCCTTACAAGGGCAGATCAGATTTTTACGTTTAATTTTTCAAAACAAACGGTATCTCTCTCTTGCAAAAGAAAAGGGGAGATTTTAAAAAGCTTGAAAATTTTAAATTTTTTTTAGTTTAAAAAATTTTTTAAAAACAATTTTTACTATTAGATAAAAAATAAATTTTTGGGAAATAAGGGCCTAAATTTTCCCTCTTTAATTTTTAAAACTATTCAAAACCGTTTACATTAAAAAAATAACTGTGTTTAAAGGGGGTTAAATATTAAATGAAGAAAGATTTAAAAAAGCTGAAATGTATTGATTTTATTCAAAAAAAAATAAAAAAATGTGTTATCAAAAGTAAATTTATTTGAACAAAGCACCCGTTTACCAAATTTAACCAAAAGTGTTAAGGGGAAAAAAAAAAAAAAAAGAATTTCATTTTAAAATAACAAGGAATTTTATTTTTTGGGAAAGTATCACTCTTTTTAACCGACCCCAAGTTGGTTTTTAAATTTTAAAATCCGTTTATGGTTGAAAAGGGAAATATTGTGAGGGTTCCAATTCTTAAAAAAATTGGTATGAAATATTGGTTAAAGAAAAAATTTTCCTTATGGGGGGGGACTATCGTAATAATATAGTGTTTTTGTATTTAAAAAAAATCATTCGCTCAAGCCATTATGCTTTTAAAAAAAAAACCCAATTTTTTTTTTTACAATCTTTTTTTTGTTTTTTGATATTATTAAAAATTTTTATTTTTTAAAATTTTTTAAAATTTTAATTAAAAATAGTTTTTAAAAAACAAAAAATTTTCTTTTTAAAGACTTTAAAAAAAAAGAAAAAATCTTTTCCGAAGGGATAATTCCTTTAATAAATCATTTAAACGTAACCCTTAAACCAAGTTTTACTTACAAGTACCCTTACAACACGGCAGTATTTTTAGGTTTTTTTACAAATTTTAATTTATCCACTTTGTCTCTTTTGTAAAATTTTTAAATTTTCCCCCCCTTAAAAAATTTTGGGTTTTTACTATATAAATTATAACTCTACACAAACATTTTATAACTTTATCAAAGATTACCTTACATTTATCTTTTATAAAGAAGCTATTTTATATTATTCCATATCTCAAAAATTGTTTAAATAAACATATACAACAATTTATACGAAGATGGAAAAAATATTAACATTTCTTTGTGATCTATGCAAATTTAAAAATCTTATTTAGCTATATTCTATGTTTACAAACTTAGATAAAAAATATTTTCTTTATTATTCCCTTCTGTATGCAAATATGAGAAGACAAAATACACATGTATGTGTTAATGATTTATTTAACTTCTAAAATCAATTCAAAGAATAAAAAAGTTTGCTTTTTTCTAGATGATAAAACGATTCTTATTGCAACAACCAGCAGTCTTGGTGGACTTGTTATAATATTGGCATTAGCAATGATAATACTCTGCAGGTATAGAATATATTTACACATACATATTGTCACAAACAAATTTCTAATAACATTATGTTGAACGTATGCCAATAAGTTTATTCTTGGCTTTGTTGATATTGGTTCCGATATGTAAAGTATTTAGAATTGAATATCGGATAAGCCGGTGCTTGAGGTGAGAAATTTACATGTTCATATTCTTCCATACACAATGCCGGTAAAATACAAGTTTTCAATGCCTTACCAGATCACTTAGAACTTTCTTAGTTGTTAAATATGTTTTGCCTTAACTGATTCATTGCCAAGCTAGATCAAAACATTATTCTTAAGAACGCTGAAAAAGGCAAACTGGATAACATTGCAGACTGTTTATAGGCGAATAACCAGCTTCAGCAAAAACAATATTTTGACATGTTTATGGTGAAAATTAGAATTTAAGAAAAATTCACAGAAAAAAAATCACGTGGACCTTTTATTGTGTCACGTAAGTGCCAGTTCATGATCACCGACATATGGTCTCCAATGAAAGAAAAGCTAGTAGGATAATCTTAATTAAGAGGACGTTTGAAAAGGAACAATATACATTTTTACCAGACGTTGCTAAAATTTATTTTAAATGGTTTAGATTCAAATCAAAGAAGAGTGACGACGACAAAATGTCCCTAAAACATATGGATACCAATGGTTTTAAAAGTTTTGACGGCGCCCTCCATAGAAATCGATTTGTAGAGGATGACGACGATGGTGTTGGATCATATTACAGCCGCAGGTTACACTCTTTATTCATATCATTAGAAATCTAAAATGCTTAGGTGTAAATCCGCAAAGCAATCCCGTATTATAAAAGGAAACGTTTAAATCATTCATAAATCAAGCAATCTTAGTTTACAAGTGTCACGTTGTATATGTTTTGTCTATTTTATGGATAGAACATTTTTTAGTTACATGGTTGATATCATGAGAAAAAACAAATTCTCATCTATTTTTCTTATCATTGTCTTTGGTTAACGGCTTCAGAAATTTATTGTGGTGAATTCTTCCACGTACATTTGCAAGGATTTAAAAGTTTTGCAAGTATGACTTGGAAAAATAATTGTGTCAATATGTAAAGTAACATTTGCAAATCGAAGGGTAAAATGTGAGCTTATTGGTCAAAGAGTAGCATTACAAAAAGAACATTTTGCCATTTTGTTTTCAATTTTTCATAAATGTGCACAAAAACGTAATCACAACCGATTGTGATTAATGGAAAAATCTATACATACCTTCAGAATGTGTCTGTAATGTTCAGTGAATGATATAAAGAGTTGGCCATTTATCATTTTAGATTTAAGCCCGTTACTTTGTTTTTCCTTATTATTTGTATGCCAACTCCAATAATGTCATGCATTAAGTGATTTAGAAAAAAATATTTGTATATATGTTAATATATATCAGATAATGTATCAATTGCAAGGTTTTGTTCCCCAGCTCAAAGATTAAGGCCAAACTAAAATGTCATAGATCGGTATTTAAATGATCGGCAAATAACTCTTAATATGTCAAAATACCCTGAGGGCATCCGTGTATTTGAGATTTCAAATTTACATCTGTTTGCAGGCTATCGAGTTCGTCTCTGCCTTACGGACATCAAAATAGACTAAGTGGGAGCGGTAATCAGAACGGATTTGCTCATAATGGGCTTTATGCAAGTCCAAATAAACTTCCAAGGGCAAGTATCCACGGATCTATGCCAAACCTAGCAGGTAATGGTACTTCATTTAACCATTTCGATGACCGCCGATATTCTGGCGATGAGGCAAGGCATGTGTTAAGCTACAACCAATGTTTAAACCGAAGTTATGACATTGACCTACGAGCACCAAGAAACAATTGGAACGGCAGAAGATCGCCCCCACCAGATTATGGAAGGCCAAGGTCCCCAAAGCCAGATTATCATGGAAGGAAATTTAACAGATCCAAAGACAGCGGAGTGGTAAGTGAAAGTTTGTTACGTTTTACCATTGAAAGACAAAATATAGAAATTGAAACAAATAGTATATTGTAAGGATTTGTATTGACACTGAAAGCCAAGAATCGCACAATGAAATTCTTTCAGAAGAAATTGCATTCAGTTAAAACGCGAATACATTTAAAGGTCAAAATAACATGTTAAATTCATTTACAGATATACTATGCTCATCCTTGAGTAAATTATTGTAATCACAAAGGTATAGACATCAAGTATATTATAGCTGAATATGTCAAACTTCAATAAAGGAATGGATAAATTATTAACAGGACGCTGTGTTCCCTATAACAGGACAAATAAAGTTGATCTTTTCTTTAAAAAAAAAACAGCCAATTTTTTAATGACACTATATATTCATATGGTGACCACCTACTGTGTATAAAATTTTAAACATTACATATTCACTTACTGTAAAGTCAAAATATGTCTAAAAACGGCTGTGTTAAGAAGACGGACATTATTGAATTTTGGTTTTAAGAATATACCTACGTCTTTATCTGGATGCAAAAACTACAAATAACGTTTAGAAATAACATCATTTTCTAAAGTATAGTTATTGCGCTATCGGAGGGGTTGAAGTCGGTTCCGTTGTTACACTATCAATAAGTTTTAGCGTACGAATAAGTTTTAGCGTACGAATGGGTTACATCAAAACTACTGAAAGGAATGGGTTAAAATTTGTTCACCCTTGTTCTCCGTGATAATCTAACATAATTTGCACAGGTTCCATTCATCACTTTCGTTACTGTGTGCATATTTGTGCCCCTTATAGACTAATGAGGTATTGCATGTAAGCTCATATCTTCAAACTACTGAAAGAAAAGTAATATAAACTTCACATGTTGTCCTTTGTATCTTACATTATTAGCGCATGTCCAACTACTCTGTTTGCTTTTTTACAAAGTTATGTTACTTTTGAGCTCGTCAATTGCAAGTAATATGCTGATATTGTTTGACTTAATTAACAACTCTAGAATGTCAAAACGACCAACCATCTGAATTACAATTTCCATCAGTTCCACCTTTGGCAAAGTACATAAAGCGCACAATTCCCTGTCAAAGATGACAATCGATCCTAAGTGTTTAGTTTGTATATACTTGTTTGAGGTTAACAACATTTAACCCTTTAAGTTGTTCGTTATTTGTTTATCAGATAAACGCCCTAACATTATTTCAAAGGGCTTTCTAAATAATTATTTTACGGGGCATTTGTAATTGTTTCAGGGAAATGGCAACAGCAGCGAACGCAACGAGTTAATCAACGTCCAAGAGAATAGAAGTCCGACACTACCTACGATATGGACAAAAGCAGAGTACTTAATTTCTAGAAGCAAAATTAAGGCCTGTCTTTTGCCCCCACAGTTACCGCGGTCCCATTTAAACAATTGTCACTTTGGTAATTTAGTAATTTCAATGCGCAGTTCAAACTACAGTTATAAACGATTGAGCTAATTAGTATATGGATGGTATCTACTTTAGAATTTTAAAGCAAAATAAAGGAATGAAACTAAGTACCTAACACTATATCAGAAAATTAAAGAACTTACTGTATGTGTAACAAATCAAACTTATGTTACATAAAGTATTTATGATCAATGGTCAATGAAATGCATACGTAATGTAGAATGTTACATCAGAATGTTAATTTACAAATTTAACTTTTCTGCTGTGAACAGTTTTGTTTTTTTGTATATAAAACGGAACCTGATTTTAAATTTTTTTTTTTTTTTCTTGATAAAACGCAACAGAATATCCAGACGCTAGTACGCGATTTTCATTGTATGCCATTCTATTCGTATTGTTTTATAATCTCTGTTATTTTTGTAAATTTTAGTCTCTAACGTAATAGCTTAGTATTACTTACAATAAAGTTATATTAAATATATAATTAATGCACACTCTTGAATAATTAAATGATTGCAAAGAATAAGTCTTCCATGTTATTTTAGTTTTCAGTTTAGTTTCATCATTCTTGTTTCCTTACAGTTGTTAATCGTGTTTAATGCTGATTTTTCTTTGCCTTTATTTTGTGTTACTTCATTGAACTTGTTTAAACATGACATAATCTTCATACTCGTATTTTTAGCTATTCAAGCTACCATTTATAAGTAAGAATATGATATTCAGTGCCAGCTTCCAGCTTAAAAACTTGTATATAAAACTTTAAGGGCATTTAATGTCTTCAAAAACACTGGTACTCCATTAAAAAATAATTGGCAGGTCCAACGAAAATGATAAAACATAGAATCAACCTTTGTTTCATAATTCACATCATTTTATTTACGATATGCGCAAGTTATAGCAATGCTATTTCATACAAATGTGTTTATTGTCTTCAATGGCATAAGTTTAACTTTGTGTGTTCGTTGAATGTTTAAGATGACTTCTAGCATACTTAATTTTTTTCATCGCGTAATTCCACTCTATCATAGGTTCTTTTAAAAAAACTTCAACATTACAATATATTGCATCTTATTCACACGTCATGGTATTCTGATTTACAATATAATGCATTACAGTAAATTGAAATCACTTTAGAAGAAAATTAAAGCATTTTGCAACGCTGTTTGTGTTTATGTGTCCCGTTTGTTTTTGCAATAACTCATTATTTTTGACTCAAAGCAATGTTAATACGAAAAAATAAGACAAAATTAAACCTCAATTGTTTTTTTTCTGGTTTTCTAGATAATATTTTTGTTAATTTATTTAAAGAAGCATATAATCATGCGCACGGATATGAAATATTAGTTCAAGTCTAATTTTCATTTTAGAATTCTCGTAAGTTTGCTGGACAATCCAATGTGTTCGAAGGCGCATGAAGGATCAGAAATACATATTGTGTTCTGCCTTTCAATGGGCAAAACATTGTCTTAAATTTAATGATACGATAATGAATTAAGAGCATATTTATAGTTACAATCCCTTGTCAATGGTTATCATACGAAATTAGTACTATATGTAGGTGTAAAGAGTAATATGGATTAATAAGTTTAAGGGCACCTGTGTGCAGAAACTTAAACAAGATATACCGTTACCGTTGGGCTTTACGAGTTTTGGACACTTTTCTGAATTATAGCTTGGAAGGATTATTAATCAAACATGAGGAAACTCTGTCATGTTTATCTAACTTGTCTTTATATATTTTCCTCGTGGTTATTGTAAGACTAAATGATCATACAGCTAACAAGTCACAGAAAACATGGTTGTTTCTACTCAAATGTTTGAAATATGTATAATCTGTTACTTTACTCCACCCGTTTTAAAATCTGGAAACAAAGTTGATTAAAAGGACTTGCGCTTGGACAATTGTTCCTACCGCAAGTTCATTAAAGTAAGAGGCTGCTGCTTAAAGCTTGCCTTATATATATTGGTTTTTTTGTCAGATACTTAGTACAACTTTAACCGTGTCCAAAATCAAAAACTTCAAATGGGCCCAAAACATGAGTATTCTATATTGAGTTTTGAATCTGTTAACAGGACGATTCTGGGAAATGGTATCAAAAATTTATTAGCCTTAATATTGTACATTTTATCAAAAAGCATATAGAAATGTACCAAGTTGACATTTTAATTATCTTTTGAATCTGTTAATATATCATGTATCATATGTTATTATACTTTGCTTGAGAATGTTTAAATGTCACATTGAAGGTTATGTAGCTTTAAATGGTCATTATGCCTCAGAAAAACACTTCCAATCGTATTTCTAAAAACCTTTTTATATTTTGTTTCTATTGTCGTTTCGGAAAATACCAATGGTTTGTCATGACAACCGTACATAACTTTTGCTACTTTTGTTTTCTTGCCAATTGGTTTTTATAAATTTATATAAAAAATGTAGTGGATAAGTAATTTAATGGAAGTCAAAATACTAATATTATACATTTTGATAACTTTGCAGCATGTAACTGCATATTCAGCATTATTTCCTTCAGTTGTTTGATATCTTGAATTATTTAAGCATTACTGAACAAATGTTTGTCATTCTATAAAATTTCAAAAAATTAATATGAATTTCCGAGGCATAATGTGCCATAATGTGGCTTAGAAATTCCTGTACATGTCATTTGTAATTATTTCATACTTTATTGTTTATATCTTATTAAATATCACAAGGTGCCAATGTGCAATATTGTGTGTTTATTTATCAATAGTTTTTCTATAATACATATTTGGACTGTTTAATTATGTTTAATAATGAATGTAATGTTAAACTGTACAATACTATATATTTTTTGTTTTAAATAAGTTTTCTCTTTTGTGTGTGAGGGGGTGAGTTTTTGTTGATACTTTTTATTTGTGTCGGCGTTTGTTTTTTGTCTTTTTGTGTAGAATATATTTTCTTCTCAAAAACGTTACAAGCTAATTGCTCGATTTGTTTTTTCCAAAAAGCTGATCACTTTTCTGCCCGTTAAAGCAAAAAAAGATAGTATGAGATTTTTATTGCCAACTTATGCATAACAATCAATAATAACGTACCATGGCATATATACCGGATATAATTAACTTAAACCAAGTAGAATGGCGCTACTTAATATTTCTATAGTCATAATGAAAAGGAAATTGATTTTTTGTTTGAAACGACAATTAACTGACTTCAATGGAAAAACGGACAAATATCGTGTATTGAGGCATGACTTTATAATTGAGTTTTTCTTTCACTTTTTTGTAACATCGTCTGTATTGTTAAACTGTTAAACAGTTTCAATTGACACCAAGAAATAAATGTGTTCAAATGTTATATGTTTTAAGAAACATGTTCATTGCAAGAAAATAATATTCCTTTGGGTGAAGCATATGTAATACCCGAACCTTCATGTAACATTTTATGTCCTAGACTAATAAAATTATTATATCTAACGCATTCGTTTTTTGTTTTTTTCTATTCATATTTTGTATAATCACTTGTGGCCCTGTAAGTTTTTTATTCGGTGCCTAAGTCGGTAATTAGCCTTATAAAGTTCATGTAAAAATGATAAATTCTGCAATTAATAAATGCATATTTACACATATGCGCAATTTTGGATCAGGCCATCTTTTCACTTAGATGAAAGATTCAGGAATTAAAATCTTGTTTCAAAATGCAACCAATTTGTGTTAAGTTTGTAGTTTTTACCTTGAATGCTATCCTTACATTAGACTTGAAACACGGTAAAATATAGTATTTAAAAAAAGATTTCATAACTGCTTTAAGTGAACTACAAATTTGAAAAATGATCAAAATGTAGATCTTCATTCTTAAATTGATTCTTACTTTGATTTAGATTTATTGAAGTCGCATTTTAAATTATTAACTCATTTACAGCGCGTACGTCGGTATATGTTTCAGAAGCAATGAATATAATGTCAGGATCATTTGATAGTTTCTTTGTGAACAAGTGACCAGGTTTTCAAGTCTGACTCATTTTTATCTTGCGTCATTCCATTTATGATATTTAAATAATATTGGAAGTTAATGCGCTTTAAACACGTCAAAAAGGGAACACTGCATTAATTTCAAAGGAAGATAAATGTTGATTTTGTCTGTGATAAAATTTCCTCAATGAATGTAAATTAAGTTGCCGACTGACAACGAAAGACAGATATCGTAAAGGAAACAGTAATATGCAGACAGTTGCTTGTGCTTCGGTCTGTGCACTGAAAGTAATCACTAATGTTAAGGAAGTTGAAGCTGTCAAGTGCGAACAAACAGGCAACACTATAAATGTATAGCAGTTTTTGTAATATCGCTTACAAATTGTAAATCGACCAACCTCTGGTAGAAAGGAAACTTATATAAATCACATATACAGGTTAACGAATATGATATAAACAAACGTTGATGGTAGGTATGATTATAACTTTGACGGATATTTACATAAATATCGCGCGAATTGATGTACTAATTAATGATTATTATCATTATGGTAATTAAGATGATGAACACGATAACGATAGTTTTTATTTTTATAATTATTATTATTATTATTATTATTATTATTATTATTATTATTATTATTATCATCATTATATAAGGTTGAAAAGCAAGTTTTGTATGTTTAATCTTATCGTCCTGGATCCTATCAAACTTAAACGATCATGTTCAATTACGTTTATTTCACAAAGTTATTTTTAGAAAGCGGGCTCGTTTAAAGAGCGGTTTCAGATTTGATATGTAATATATAGAATGGTTTTTACAGTCAAATATTGTTATAACAACCTCGCTCTATTGATTGTTGTTTTATTTTTTATCTCGTTTAAACTTTGAAAATTCCGATTTTTCCCAGTCTTATTAGTATGAAAATTCATGTGTTAACCTCGCATATTTGAGTATATCAAGTTAAATTTATATTCAAAATGTTTTTTTTCCGCTTCAATCCTTTGTTTACCTTAATTTATAAATGTTCGTCTGTCATC